GGCGCGGTCGCGTCCGCGGCCGGGGCCTTGGCCGCGTTGATCGGGGCTGCCGGGCCGGGCGGGGGCGAGGAGGGTGAGTGGGCCGAGGACACGAGCGAGGGGATGCCCGGCCTGGCCGATGACATCAGCAGCTGCGGCACGCCAGAGGGCTCCCAGGCCGGCTCTGACGACGAGGATGCGTTTGGCGGCGACGTCGGCGCTGGTTTGGCGTGAGCGTCGGCGGCGGCGGTGCTTGAGGGTGCGGGGGCAGCGCGGGCGGGGCCGCGGCGCGTCGTTGTCGGCAGGGGGGCCGGGCGAGAGCCCGCCTTGGCAGCGAAGGATTGGTTGCCGGGCGAATGCCCGCTGGGGTCTCAAGCAGGAGCAGAGATTCGGAGGGTTCTGCGGGCTGATTGCCTGGCAACGCGGGTGGCTGCTCGTTGGGACGGGGGCGCCTCTCAAGCCCGCTGGTCGCCGCTTGCAGGCGCACTTGGTGCGGTCTGTTCCTGGTCTAGTGCTGATGTTGTTTGCTGCTCTTTTCCCTTACACTAGTATGTCATTCCCCGTGGCCCACATCTGTACCAAACATGCCCTGGCCCACAACTGCTGCGGTCGTGATGCCGCTGCATTCTTCTGGTATCCAGCTCTGCTGTCACTGCGACTTCGTTGATCAGTTCTGGGGCTGACGCCTGCTGCCCCAATTGTGTGGAGGGGCGTGGCAGCAAGTAGCGCTGGAAGGTTGTAACGCCCCAACTCCTTGCCACCGCTCTCTGAGCATGTCAGCAGCGAGTACAGGTCTTGGAATCTCCAGAAACGTCTTGGCAAATTGATGCCGTGTCTCATTCTGCTCTGGCACAATTAGGTGTCGCCCTGCCCACATCGACACGTACGGCTGACGCGCCCACCGCACACCGAGCCGCTGATGGGCGTCTCATGCTGCCTTCTTATAAATGCGGGTTACCACATGCCATCCTCTTTCCACGTGTTCTCTGTCCAATAGTGTGCTAAGCTGTGCGCTGTCCCGTTGATGCAGCCGCGTGTGGGGTTGAGTCGTGGTCTGCCCGAGCTGGGCTGGTGATAGGGGGTCACAGCAGGGGTGGCGTTGGCTGCTTTCAGGATAGGCATCTGAGCGGTCGCAAAGATTCTAAAATTATTAAAGGCGCGCGACAGATTCAGCTCCACCGGGCCTCGCCGCGCAATTGCAGGGCGGTCTGTCTGGCAACTCACCCCGGTGACATTCAGACGGAGATTCTGCAAACGGCCGCAGGGAGCCTGGTTGCACACGCCGACCAGGTGCTATTATTATTTGGATCACGTGCTGTGGAAGCAGCAAGGCTGTCACCCCTGCTTGAGCCTGGATCAGCACGCCTGACCGTGGCGACTGCGTGGTGTTGTGGGCGCTGCTGCTTACCTGGAACGGTTCGGAAGGCTCACCCGACCATCTGAAGGTGGGCAGATGGCCGCTTCTGGAGCGCAGGGCGCGAGGGGCCACGCCCCCAGTCCGTCAACCCCGGTGGCCGCGCCGTTGTGCCACGAAGCCACGAGACGGTCGCTGCAGTGGCCCTTTTTAGATAATGTAGCTGCATTTTGTGATGTTTGGGCACTCTCGCCGACCTGTCAGCAAACTTGGCTCATGACTTTTGACGCAGCGCTGTGGCCCAGACAGACGCCGCGAGATCAGGCAGGATTCTAGGCAGCGGGTATTGCAGACTGAATTTTAAAGAAATAGCATGCGTGATGGCAGGCAGCGCTCACCACACCTCCGACTCGAACCAACCCCCTTGCACCGCCGAGCCGGCGACAGTGATGACATTCAAACGCACCTGGGTGCTGTCGGTAGACCCAGCCATAGCGTCACACTTGGAACTATGTCAGCCATATTCTGCAAAACCGACCTTTGTTCATCCCACCACCACGCCACTCCGCAGGCACCACCCGATCCACGCGCCGAAAACCTCGCCCATGGCGCGCCTGCACCTCTCAGCCGCCTTGGCCCTGGCGCTCGCCGCCGCGGCCGGCTCGCTCGCGCCCGCCGCCGCAGCGGGCCGGTGCGCGCAGGTGCCCTGGGTCTCGGGCGTTGACCAGTCGCCGTCCGACCCCCGCAACTACGGCAAGTGCACCAAGGCGCTCGAGCCCCAGGTAAATGCGAAGTTCTCCCACTGGTGCAAGTTCAACACCCTGGGGACCTGGCCGACGGGGCCCAGCGCGAGGGCCAAGAAGTGCCTGAAGTTCGGCCGCGCGACCATCTACCGGGTGAGCAAAAGGGTCTCGAGAACAGCGCGGCGCCATGGCGGCGGCTGCGCCGCGCCAGGCGGCCCTCAGGGTGCCGGCAGTCGCCCGCTGCGCCCCCAAAACCTGCCTGTTCTTGACCGACCGCCCCCAAAACCCTGCCCGCTAAACAATTCCAGGGCCCAATCTATGGCTCGTCTCCGGGCCACAAGGCTGCCTGCAACAAGTGGCTGCACGGCGAGGACAAGGCGGCGATGGTGGCGGTGTCCACCAAGTACCTGAAGACCTACCAGGGCGGCTGGGCGAACGACAAGGGCTCGTGCGGCAAGTGCATGTGCGTGCGGCTGCACGGCGGGGACAACAAGTTCAACACCGGCCTGCAGACTGACGCGCTGTCAAAGCACATCGGCCTCACCTTCCTCGCCAAGGTGGGCACCAGTGCGGGAGGGTCATACACGAAAGAGGGTGTGTGCGTGGATGTGTGTGTGTGTGTGTGTGTGTGTGTGTGTGCGTGCGTGCACGGGCGTGCAGGAGAGAGAGGGGGCAGGCATGCACGCAGAGCAAGTGGAAGTGGATGCGGTTTGCAAGGGCTAGCAGGGCAGGGGTGCACCCCGTGTGCAGACGTGGGTTGAGATGTGGGATTGGCAGGACAGCCGGCACACAGTTGTGCAATTGTGGGTGTGGAGGGAAGTGGTGTGCGCTGGCAAGCGGCCGCAGCACAAAGCTTCAGGCCGCGTGTGCAGCAACGCACGACCGGCCGCCACCAGCAAGCTCTGTGGCGCGTCAACATGCGCACACCTCAGTCTACTCGTCACTCACCCATGCCCCTTGTCACTGCACACCGCGTCTGCCGGGAGAGGCACTTCGTCTCAACGCGCACACCATCACCCCCCCTGAAAACAATCTACACGCCCACCGCACCCACCGAAACCCTCCCAAACCCCCCACCCTCCAAACCCCACAGGTTGGCGACCGCTGCGCCGAGTGCGAGGACGACCACATTGACCTGCTGCAGGACCGGCCCCTGACCTTTGCCCCTTTCAACCCCAAGGGCGGCGACAACTACTGGGCGCCGTACGTGAACGCCAAGGACGGCCTGCGCGGGTTCAACGACCCCAGGTACATGCGCGGGTCGCAGTACAGCCTCGAGAACGCAGGCGCATGGACCTCGGATTGGCAGGTGCGATTGTGTGTGTGTGTGTGTGTGTGTGTGTTGTGTGCGTGCATGCGTGTGGGAATGCATGCGGCAAAATGCGAGTTGCACGGGAAAGCGTTGTGATGTGCGTGCATGCACTCAGCCCAGGGACGGACAGCTCCTTGATTCGAGAACGCAACCGCCGAGCCGCCCACCAGTCGTCACTGCTCCGCATCCTAGCTAGCGTCCCTCTGCCGCGGCCTCCCTCACAGCATCCGCCTCCCCTCCCCCTGCCTGTTGTCGCGCCAATCGAGCAGTGGGTGCCGTGCAGCTGGACGCACCAGCAGTGCGCGAACCTGATGAAGGGCATGGGCTATGGCAACGTCTGGACCCCCAAGCCGACGCCCGGCGTGGACAGCTTCAGCCTGCGCCCCATCAGCCAGCTGCGCACCCGCGACAACGCCCGCCTGTTCAAGCGCCCGTGGTCCAAGTAAAGCGGCAGGCCGCCGGGCATGGGCGGCGCGAGGGGCGGCGGCGCCCCTTACGGGGCATTGCGTCTGCCCGTCGCGCCGCTCCACACACCCCTGATATCGGGCCTGTGAGGAACCCTCCTCCAAGCTTTCTTTGACAAAGGACGCGCGTCGCGCCCCGCGGCGGCGCCCACGACGCCAGAGCCTCTGTGGGTGCGGCCGTGGGCGGGCCGCTCCGAGGAATGCGTCCATCCTGACAAACCCTGAGGAGAGGCGGGGATTGTGACCACGCGCGCCCCGCAACCGGGCAGCATAACAAACAGCGTGTTTTGAGCTCAGTCGATTCCTGCCACGCTTGGGGCGGCTCAACGTGGAAGCATTTCATATACGCCGCAAATTAGGCTGTGCGGCATGGCCCTTGGTGGCCAGCCGCACACACGCAATGGGCCTCGTGGCGGCATTACATTGCCACTTGCTTTCGCAACACTGCCCGTGGCCTCGGCCGCATCCCAACCTGCATCAAACCAGGGGCGCCCCCGCGCCGCGCGTGCAGCACACCCAGCAACCCGGCGCGCTGCCGCCGCCGCGCCAGCGCACACAGGCGGCCCGACTGCTTGGTTGGCACAGGCTTGTAGGCTCCCGCACGCAGCCTCGGGGCAATGAGCGAGGTGCCTTCGTGCGAGTCGACAAACCGCGCGGGCTTGCCCGCGGCGCGGCGATTTGGAAGCACACCGGTCTCTCGACCACTGCATGTTTAATTCCGCCGGACGGTGGGGGCGGTGGGGGCGTGCCTAGCCCACCCCCGCCCCCACCTCCCAGCGGCAACAGCTCTTTCTCCTGCTCTGCATCGGACCTGCCCTTGAGGGCGCCCGGCCGCGGCACGGCATCCGCGAATCCCGCAAGCGAGCACCGGCGCGGCTGTGGCTTGCTGTGGCCGAGCGCCAGGCCTCTCTAGGCGGGTACGGGGACAAATTCTCAAAAGCGTTGTCTTTGACGCGCCCAAACACCAACGCACTGCGAACCCCAGAGGGTGGTCCCCCGGCCGGGGCGCAGCCGGCCGAAGCGCGCGTGCCCCAAGCACGTGTGTGCGGCGCGCGCCCATGCTTTCTTGCCTTTTGAGTGGGGAGACTCGTTTGCCCGGCTTCGGCGCTGCAGCACCGGGATGGCGCCAGCATTCCTGCGCGGTCCTGGGTTGTGCGCATAGCGAACTCACATGTGTGCAGCCAGGAGCACCACCTGGCGCGCCCCGCGCCGTTGGCGGGTTTTGGCTTAATATTCTAGGCAAGCGGTGCACGCCCCCCTGCCACGAATTGTCATGCACTTGGGTTGCTCTTCATTGTAACAAAAGCCCTAGCCCAACAACTACCCCTATCTACAGTCTCGCCAGACCGTCCCACAGGGCGCCCCTACCGCCGAACTGCCTGCCCCTGTACGTGCAGCACCGCCGCCACAAGCCCGCGTTGTGAGATGCTTCCGAGCAGCCTGTTGCCCCTGTGCCCGCCTGCAGTGCGGCAGACAGTGAAGCTGCGCTTGACAGGCACGCCCTGCACTCAATAACCAGGCCCTATTCGCCTGCGCAGACGCCAGGGGATGCCGCGTTCTAGCGTCCCGACTGTTGCGTTGAGCAGGGGCCAACATTTGCCGTGGTGGCAAGGCTGTTGGGCCAGCCAGTGCGGCTCACTCAGTCGTGTCTGTTTTGACTGGCGCCTCCCGGTCACTCCATTTGCGCGCCCGAATGTGCCCAGCTTGTTATTAAAACCATGACAGCGCCGCAAGGGCGGTGTCAGCCGTCGGCCGGGCTACTGGGATGGATGCAGCAAGGAGAGCTGAATGGGAGGCCTTTTTAGGTGTCCGGACGCGTCGACCACACAGCGGCCCATGGATCCTGGTGGCGGCCAAAGCGAGCGCACACGGCGCATGGGGCTCGCCAAGCCCACGGCCGGCATGCCCATGCTCATCATAGGCGAGTTAACCAACGGCAACAGCCTGAGGATAGACTGGGGACACAAAGCAGGGGCCGCTCGCCGTTGCAGGGGTCACAGTGCTGTAGCGGGGCAGGCGCCTCTCCGGCTCGAGGCATTTCCTGTCGCTCATATGTTGGCCAGCAGGCCTCACTCACAGCTGCGGGCGATGCATGCGTACACAATGATACGAGCTGCGGCGAGGTCAGGCCCACGCAGCATCGAGCTTGGGCCGCGTGCAGCAGCAACCAGTGTGCCGCCCTTGCCGCCGCACTGCACCTTGCACCCAGCAGCATCCCACGCAGCGGCGCCGTGAGACAAATTGTAAGCAAAGTGCGGGGAACGCGTTCACGGCCCTTGCAGTCGGGCTCGCGCGTGGGCAGGCAGGCCTGCGAGCACTCAAGGTGCCAGCATGCTGCTTCCCGGCCATAAGCGCTGCCGCGGGCTCTGCGCGTTCAATGACTTGACCCTGACAGCATGACGATGACCTGAGCCAGCGCCAGCGGCATGAGCACCGCTGTTGTTGCGGGCGCGAGCAGGAAGCGCGCAGAGGAGGAGGAGAACGGTTCCTCAACATCACCGCAGCCCATCAAGCGTCAGAGGCTTTCGAGCGAGAGCGAAGAGCAGGTGCGCGGCCGGGACGTCAGCGGGGCAACAACGAGCTGTGCCCTCGTCGTTTGACGCCCCTTGCGCCCTCTGCAGGTCCTTTTTCGGCACAGCAAACGCGTAGAAAGGCCTGGGATACCGAACCCCATCCGGCTTAGCCAGTTCCGGCTCCCAGACAAGCCATCCCCGCCCCTCCGCGGCGACGACAAGGTGCGGCGCGCCGAGGGAGCGCCCGCCTTGTTTCGCGCCTGCTGCATGCCTTGTGGGCCCCTAACCCCGCCTGCATCCATCGCAGGAGGGCCACTATGTCTACGAGCTGGGGGAAAACATTAGCAGCCGATGTGAGTGGCCGAGGCGACGGCACGGAAGCGGGCGCACCGGCGATGCTGCGCGCGGGCACTCGCACGCGCCGTGGCGTACTCCCAGACAGCGGCTGACGCAACCTCGCCCTGTCCCACTTTGCAGACAAGATCCTGTCCAAGTTTGGGGAGGGTGAGGCGGGCGCTGGAGGACGAAGGGGCAGCTTGAGCACAGCCGCGTCGCTGTGCTCAAACACCACCGGCCCTCCCGCCAGGGGTCGTCGAGCCGCCAGCGGGCTCTCAATTCAAATTGCTGCCCCGTCAAGCTGCAGCAGTAGCAGCCATTGGTGGCAGCGAGCGGCTGGAGCACAATCGCGGAGCCTCTGTGATCCTCACCTTGCAACGGGCCGCCGTAGCAGCCCCTGCAACTCTGGCCGCCCTCATTTGGGCCCAGTCGCTGCCTTTCCCTCACCCGCCAGCCGCGCAGAAAACGGCACTCACGCACGCGCCAGCTCCCAGCTTGTGGCGCGCCCCCCACGCCTCCCGCCATGCGTACGCGCGGGGCGCGCTCGCCGCCGACGCCCCGCGCGACCCCTCACGCGCCTGCCGCGCCCCCGCGTCGCTGGCAACGCCCGCCCCAGGCACGTTTGGCCGCGTGCTGGAGTGCTGGGACCGACGGCGCAAGGAGTATGTGGCTGTTAAGATCGTGCGGAACGTGGACAAGTACCGGCACGCAGCCATGATCGAGGTGTGGACCTGCGGCTGGCCCCGCCTGCACGCAGCCCGTGCCTCGCCGTGCCCCCGCGCCGCGTTGCCCGGCCCCCAGCCGGCGGGCGGCCGCGGCGCCCTGCGTCAGATGCGGCGCCCGGCTGGCGGGCGGCTGCGATGGGAGTTGGGTCAGTAAGGGATGCGCTTTCGTGCTTGGAGGCGTGCTGTAGCGTCTGGAGGATGCGAGCGGACAGCAGGCCGGCCTGTCGCCCCATCTCTCTGCTCATGTGTGCTTCTTAAACCCCTGGTTCCTTGGCCCGCAGCTGGAGGTGCTCAATACACTGGAGGCCAACGACCCCGTGTCTAAACGGTGTGTAGATGATTAGGGGGGCATTCGGAATGGCGGCAGGGCAAGGGTCGAATGTGAAGCCAGGCAGCCGGCCGCCATTGCCGGCCAGGGAGGGTGGGCGGGTCGCAGGGGTCCCCCGCCCCCGCCGCGCTCCCCGGACCCTGCAGCGGCCCCGCGCGCGCCGGCTGGCACTCAACCCCTGCCACCGGCCCCGCCCTCGCGCGCCCTCCGCGCGCGGCGCGCAGCAAGTGCGTCCACCTCAAGGAGTGGTTTGACTACCGCGGTCATGTGTGCATGGTGTTTGAGAAGCTGGGCCCCAGCCTCTACGACTTCCTCCGGCGCAACGACTACCAGCCCTTCCCGCTGGCGGTGGTGCAGGTGGGGCGGGGCGGCCGGGGTGCGGCGCGGGCGCTCGTCAGGCAGAGTTGCTGGGGAAGCCTCGCCGCAAGGACACTTGTGGTGTGGTGTACTAGCGGTTTAGTGTAGGAGGATCTGCGGCCTGCAAAGTGATGCGTGCAGCGCTATCACCCACCCACCCGCCTAGCACCGCTGGCGACACTGGTGGCTTCTCATTCTTCCGCCAGGCCACCGCCCCTCCCCTCGCCAAACCCGGCCTCCCAGCACGCACGGCACACCCCTGCCTCCACCCCTCCTCTCGCCCCACGCGAACAAACAAACACCGACCCCACAAACGCCGAACAATCCCGAATCTGCAGTCCATCGCGCACCAGCTGCTGGAGGCCGTGGCATTCATGCACGAGCTGCGGTTGGTGCACACAGACCTCAAGCCGGAGAACATCCTGCTGCGGAACGCGGAGTACACGCGGCTGCCACCCGCGGAGACGCCGGCGGACGCGGCGGCAGCGGCGGCGGCGGGCGAGGGGGGCGGCAGGTGCGGGGG